TTTTTTTTTTTTTAATTTGGCTATGTCTGAGCAGGTGGGCTACGTGTTTTGTTGTTTGCTTGTCTGTTGCCATGGTACTTTTTGCCTCCTCCAATTGGCAGGGTCAGTTGCTCAGATATGGTACAGCAGGGCAGGTCTAGCTGAAGAGGATTTACTGGAATAGGTTTTTTGTGACACTTGCTACAGCCACCAGGGCGGGCCGGTAATCAGTGCAGGGCAGGTTCTGGTGGGCCACGCCTGTACTGCTTGGTGGTGTGATGTTAAACTCATGGTGCAGGTAGTCAGGATGGAGGGGGTAGATTGTGATGTGTGAAGCTAAGATGGGTATGAGAGAGAGGAGAGAGGAACAGGAGCCAAAAACATAAAAACAAAAAAGGGTGCTAGGGGAGCTTGCCGTTGGAGTGGAGAGATGAGAGACTATGAAATGGAGAAAAACAAAAAGGGGAAAAAGAAAAAAAAGAAAAGAAAATAATGAATAAATAAAAATTAGAAAGAAAAAGGAAAAGCAAAGCTCCCAGGGATCCTCCCGGTGTAGCTGTGAGTTCTGGAGAAGTTGTTCGCAGACGTTGAAGTACAGTCTGGCTAGAAGGCATAGAGTTGCCACTCAGTGCCAGGTATTCAGAAGACAGGAAGGGAAGGAAGGTATAGTGAGTTGAGAAACTGAGCAATGAAGAAATACAAAAAGGGAAAAAGAGGGAAAAGAAAACAAATAAAAAAAAATGAAGAAGAAACCCCCCCCCCCGAGAAAAAAAACAGAAAAAAAAAACCCACGAATAAAGAAATGCTCTCAGGGATCCCTCTGCGCGTCTTCACAAGCTGAGGGCGTAGGTCCCAAGCCATGCAGTACTGCCCAGCTAGAACGGGCTCCCAATTCGAGAAAAGAAAAAGAAAACAAACAATTCAAAACAAACAGACAAAAAAAATCCCCAGGATCCCACCAGCATGGCAGCTCGGACTGGGAAGCAGTTTCACATTCGAGTGGAGTTTCACAGCCTTTCAGGATGAAGCAGAGATGGTGCATGGAGCCAGGTATTTGAGCAAAAGGAGGGGGAGGTGGTGAGAGGTAAGGAAGAAATCGAAAGAAGCGGAAAAAAGCAACACCAGCGGCCAACAAATGGCAGTCAGTGAGTCGGCCAGTGCGGGCAGGTGGAATCCAAGCAGCCAGTGCTTCCCGGCCAAGAGACTGTGGCCACGGGAAGCAGAGGAGGCTGAGTAGGGTTGAAGAAGAGTGGGGAGTGGGAAAGCATATATCATTGGTTACCGGTTATTCTGTCTCCTGCTGGAAGCTGCTTTCTCATACCCCCTGTTAGCTGGTCTCTGATAGGAGTCCCACATGGCGGATCCGTGCTTGGTTAGCTGATAGGGGACCTCTGCATGTATATTTTCTCTCTCTCTGTTCTCTGTTAGTTTCTTATACTGTTTGGTGCTTGGCTGAGGTCTTTATTTCTTCATTTGATGTTTTAGGGTTTCAGGATTGCTGTTTTCTCTGTTTGGCTTAGTTTTTCAGATCTTTGCTGTGGAGGGATGACATGGTGCTTCTGCCTAGAGTGCCATGTTGCTGGAAGTCCTCAGCCATATCTTTATTCTACAGTGCGGCTGGTGGATTCAAACCGCCGACCTCTTGGTTAGTAGCCAAGCGCTTAACCATTGTGCCACCAGAGCTCATTGAGTTTTTTCAGGACCTGTAAAAACCTGTTACTGTCAAGTCAGTTCTGACTCATGGCATCTCCATGTGTTACAGAGTGGAACTGCCCCATTTTCTTGACTGTAATCTTTATGGAAGCAAATTGCAAGGCCTTTCTTCTGTGACACTGCAGGATAGGTTTTTACTGCCAACCTTTTGGTTAGTAGTTGAGTTTAAACCATTTGCCCCACCCAGGGACCTGTCTTTATCAGGCATGGGAGTTGAGTATTGTCCAGTTTTTTTTTCTTGTATCTGTTCAATTTTTTTTCATTCCGTCCATATATTACATAGTTACCTGTTAATATTGAATTACATTAATTGATTTTTTAATGTTCAACAGTCTTACATTTCTAGAATAAATTCTGCTTGGTTGGAATGTATTTTCCTTTTTATATTGAAGGGTATTGCTAATATTTTGTTAGAATCTATTCTAATATTTAAATTGGATTCTGTTGATCATGTTTTGTTAAGGATTTTTATGTCTATATTCAACATAGCTATTGGTCTGATTTTCTATTTTTGTAATGCCTGTGTATTAGGGCTGTACTGGCCTTATAGAACAAGTTGAGGCATGATCCCTCTTCCTCCTTTTGAGAAAGTTTGGTAATATTGATTTTATTTCTAATATTTGATTGAATTTTGCAGTGAAACTATTTGAGTTTTTTGGGGAAAGATTTTTAATAAATTTAGTTCCTTTATTAGAAATAAGCTGTTGAAGTTTTCCATTTCTTCTTGTGTCCATTTTAAGTTTTATTTTCAAGAAGTTTGTCCATTTCATCCAAGTTGTTGAATTTGTTGGTGTACTAGTATAGTATTTTTTTATTATCCTTTTAGTACCTGTGAATTCTGAAGTGATAACTCCTTTTTCATTCCAGATGTAGATGATTTGTATTATTTCTTCTTTTTCCTAATCAGTCTAACTAGAAGTTTGTCAATTTTGTTGATCTTTTCAAAGAACCAGGTTTTTACTGAGTTAATTTTTTCTATTGTGTATTTTCCAGTTCCCTGATTTCTGTACTTTATTATTTTCCACTTTCTATTTACTTTTGGTTAACTTTACTCTTTTTTTTCCTTACCTTCTTAAAATGGGGAAATTTCTTCGTAAGCTTTTGCCTTTGAAGAACATGGTTTTATGTATTGAATAAACACTTACTAAGCTCCTGTAATTTGATGTACCAGGCACTATCATAAATCTTAAAACTATGAAGACAAGTATGGCAAGTTGGTTACAGGATAATAGTGGACATTGATGCATGTCTACAAGGTGTTATGCACATCATTTGAAAGTCTCTTTAGATATGAAGGCTTGTAACCGTCACTGCTTAATATTTTCTTAACGCATTCTCTGTTTTTTAACTGTTTTATATCTTTCATTACATATTTACCAAATTCTTCCATGTTAGTGACATGTTCTAAGTGTCTTATTTTGTTTTGCAGATAATTTATTGTTTGTAATCAACTCCATCAAGCAAGAAATTGTAAACCGAGTACAGAATCCAAGAGAGGAGAGGGGACCCAACATGGGACATAAGCTTGAAATCCTTATTAAAGATACTCTTGGTAAGAAAAATATAGGATAAATTCATAACAAATAATAACATGTAGTGTAAGATAGATGATTCAAGGGGATATTAGAAGTTCTTTTAGTTAATGAAAACTCAAGTGCTCTCATTGTAGTTAGTCTCCTTTTGTCTTTTTTTTCTTTTGTGTTTTGACTTCATCACTGAATTATTTTAACACTTGGGAAAGACAAACTTCTAGGAACTTTAACCTTCCATTGAGGGTGGGGGGTGGAAGGTCCCTGAGCTGTCAAGCATGCAGTTAGTGGAGGTTCTTACCTATTTGTTTAACTTGGTAGTAATACATTTCATAGGATTCTAACAAACTTGGTTACCTGATTTTCCATCCCTGAACAGATTCCATAGCATGGGGAGGATCAGAGAAGCAGGCATCCTGAAGGAAGACAAAGTGATAGTTTGACCGGGAGGGTAGAGTTAGCTACTGTAGACATAGACATGAAAACTCCAGAGCACCCCCAGCCACCAAAAAAAACAAAAAAAAACACACATTGCCATCAAGTCGATTCAAACTGCTGACCGTTTGGTTAGCAGCCCAAACTGTTAACCCCTGCGCCACCAGGGCTCTGTTCCAGAGGCCCCAGAGCTTAGCAAATCACCTTACAGAGTAGCAGCATCCCAAAGGCATTACAGCATAATACTATCCATGAAAACCCTGAACCGTCATAAAATTGGTTCAGCTATATTCTTTATCCTCAGTTTTAACAGTATTTATTCTAGGACTATCTTTTTTAAAAACTGGTTCTGATACTAGAGTGGTAAAATTCAGTTACCTGAGAATTTTCTTCTAGTTCGTTTTTCCTCAGGATGCTCTGAGTATCGAAAGCCAGGTCACTTAAAAGAATTAATGCCTACTTTTTGATTATTAACTAGCTATTTAGTACCTGAATTGTAGAGTAACAAAAACTTCAACTTGAACTACCATGTTTTATATTTGTCCTTTTTTATTGTAAATATCTTGGGATCTTTTTTTTACATTTCTATTAAGGCAAGTTTTCTGACCTCCATTTACTACAAATTTATTTATTCCACAAAATTTTTTTAAATGCTTCCCATGTGCCAGGTATTGGGGATGCAGGGATGAAGAACAGATTTTATCCCTTCTCTTATAAGCTGTAGTCTAAAAATGGAAGACAAATATACAGGAAAGCAAAAATAGTAACAAATTGTGTTAAGTATTATGAAGAAGTCAAGGTGCTTAGATGGAGTGGGGTGGGGAAGAATAGTTTATTTCTGTTTACACAGAGATATTTCTTATATCTACCAAAATGATTGCATTTTTGTTAATTGAAGATGAATACACATTGCATGCTTCTGTGCACTTAATGAGTCTGTCATGGTCTTTGAAATTACAGGTTTGTCTTAACAGCCTTATGTGCATACTGAATGTAAAGTATGTTAGTGTTTTTACACCAGAAAGCTTTGTGGAACCACCAATACTTCCATATGTGGTTTTTTTTTTTTTTAATTGTACTTTAGATGAAGGTTTACAGAACAAATAGTTTCTCATTAAACAATGAGTACACATATTGTTTTATGACAGTGGTTAACAACTCCACGCCATGTCAACACTGTCCGTTTTCGAACCTGGGTTCCCTATTACCAGCTTTCCTGTCCCCTCCTGCCTTCTAGTCCTTGTCCCTGGACTGTTGTGCCCCATTAGTCTCATTTTATTTTACGGGGCTCTCTAATCTTTGGCTGAACGGTGAACCTCAGGATTGACTTCATTACTGAACTAGAAGGGTGTCTGGGGGCCATACTCTCTGGGTTTCTTCAGTCTCTGTCAGGCCAGTAAGTCTGGTCTTTTTTTGTGAGTTAGAATTTTGTTACACATTTTTCTCCAGCTCTGCCTGGGACTCTCTGTTGTGATCCCAGTCAGAGCAGTCAGTGGTGGTAGCTGGGACCATCTAGTTGTACTGGACTCAGTCTAGTGGAGGCCGTGGTAGTTGTGTCCATTAGTCTGTGTTAGTGTTTTTGAAGGGCAACTTGGAATCATTATAAAATTAACAATGCATATAGATTTTGATCCAACCATTTCTTGAAATTTCATAACTCTTCATGTCTGAAGGCCGAAGGAGAAGTTATTAAAGAGATTACAAAACCAAAAAAACCCAAACCCGTTGCCAGTGTGTCAATTCTGACTCATAGCGACCCTACAGGACAGAGTACAACCACTCCATAGGGTTTTCAAGGCTGTCATCTTTACAGAAGCAGACTGCCACGTCTTTCTCCTGTGGAGAGGCTGGTGGGTTCAAACTGCCAACCTTTCAGTTAGTAGTAGAACACTTAACCACTGTGCCACCAGAGGTTAAAAGTCAGGAAAAAAGGAATCCTTAGGTCTTAGGAAGGAATAAACGGCTAACATTTATTGAGTGCTTATTATGATCCACGAGTATACTGAGGGTGCTTTTGGTTATTTACTTCCACAGTTCTTTGAAGGAAGTATTATTATTATTATCCTGGCTTTATAAATGAGAGATTGGCTGGGAATTGAGCCCAGGTCTCTCCTCATAGAAGGAGAGAATTCTACCACTGAACCATCACTACCCCCATTCATTGTTTGTAGGGATGTTCTGTTCTCTTTTTTCTTAGAATAACTTTTTCTGGGATTTTGACTTTGATACTTTTCTGTCACTTATTTTATGAGAAATTAGTTTTCCTGAACTTTTAAAAGAAGGCTTAGTTCAGGATAGCTTTCCTAACTTCACAGACCACCCCCACCCCTACCCCCTTTTTTTAAGTTAATGTTTAAAAATATGGCAGCTTGCTTTCTGAGATTTCTGTACCTTCTCTCTTTCATATCTATTGTCCTTATCTTGCTGAATTTTGATTCCAACTCCAGAATCATTGCTGTCCTGCAAGGGAGCCCTGGCTGTTCAGTTTTCTGAGTTCACAGAAACTAGACTGCTGTGCTCTAGCCCCTTCACATCTTACTGTTGGCCCCTTGCCATTACCTTGTACTCACAAGTGAGTTGGTTAAAAGTCTCTCCTAGCTTCCGCTGCAGTTCTCAAGTTGGCCTGCTATGCTTTCCAAGTATCTGTTGCCCATTTTAGACTTCTTTTGTTCTCAGACCTATTGCTTCCTTTTGGCTTCTCCCTCACAAATGCTGATAGTGCTGATACCTGCAGTTCTGATGGCTCTTAAGTAGTTTGTTCCCACCTTCTTGAATTCTGGAGTTCATGGGGATACCTTGTCACTTGTAAATACTTTCCATGAGTTTATGGTTTTGCTCTCTAGTTGTTTTTTTTTGTATGGAGATTCAGGAAGATTAAAAATCTATGCTGCCACACCATCATCTTCCCAGAAATCCCCTCTAGAGCAGTTTACATGCATTGGAGTTTCTTAAAGGCTGGTAGACTACTCTTTGAAACTGTCTGGCCTAGTGTGGTTTTTTTTTTTTTTTCTCTCTTTTCGTTGTTTGTTTGTTGTTACTCTTTGAAAACTTTCTCTATTTCTTCTAGAGTCAGTTTTTATAATTTATGTGTTCTTAGAAAATGATTCACTTTATCCAGGCCTTCAAATTTATTAGAGCTGAGCAAAGTAGTTTTATTTTTTAATTTCCTCTTTATCCATGGTTAGTGCTCCATTTTCATAATATTTTGTGTGTGAGGAGCCCTGGTGGCACAGTGGTTAAGCACTTGGCTGCTAACCAAGAGGTCGGCGGTTCGAATTCATCAGCTGCTCCACAGGAGAAAGATGTGATATTTTGCTCCTGTAAAGATTACAGCCTTAGAAACTCTATGGGGCAGTTCTTCTCTGTCCTGTAGGAATTGTCCTGAGTTGGAATTGACTTGACGATGGTGGCTATTTTATGTTTACTGTATTCCTTTTTCTTGAATAGGTAGGTTAATAGGTTTTTCTCCCCACTCCCCAAAGAACTATTGGATTTACCATTTCTTCTAATTTCTTGAGTTAGTTACTTAATTCATTTGGTTTTTCTTCTTTTGTGTTCGTTAATACAATTAAAAGCTTTTGAAATTTCTTCCAAGCACTGCTTTAGCTATATCTCATAAGTTCTAATATGTCATATTTTCATTATTTTCTGAATATTTTGAAATTTTAGGTTTGATTTATTCTTTGACCCAAGAATTGCTTGACAGAGATTTAAAATTTCCCAGAAGGTACGGACTATCATTTTCTAGTTTTATTGTTAACTTCTTTTTTTGTGATTTATTGAGATTTTCTTAGCTACCTAATAAACCCACTACTGTTGAGTCGATTCTGACTCATAGTCAACACATAGAGTTTCCAAGGCTGTAAATCTCTATGGAAGCAGACTTGCTTAATCTTTTCTCCTGTGGAGCTGCTGGTGGTTTCAAACTGTTCACCTTTTGGTTAACAGTCAGTCGCTTTAACCACTGTGCCACCCGGCTACCTAATAGATGATTAAAATTTTAAATATTCCACGGGCATTTGAAAAAAGATTTATTTTCTTTTATATTAAGGCTCCAATGTGTGTTGACTAGATTAACCTTGTCAGTTACACTAATTAGGTTTTTACCTTTTCTTTCTTTTTTTTGGTCTGTTTTCTTTGTCAACAGCTGAGAAAAGTTCCCACGAATATGTTTCAGTTTCTTATAGTTTCTGTGTTTTTGCTTTTGAGTATTAGTTCTGTGATGTTTGAATAGGATTCATTATTGTTAGATCTCCCGTGTGGATTATAACCTTTATTATCATGAGGTATACTTCTTTGTCTTGTTTAATGCTTTTGCCCTGAATTCAGTCCCGTCTGATATCACAATCATGAATGTAAGCAGCTTTCTTATTGTCTGTATTTGCTTGATAGTCCTTTGCCTACCCTTTTATTTTCAGTCTTTCTGAACCACTTTATATTAGATGCATCTCTTTAATTGAATTAAATGTAGTTTTTTAATCCACCCTTAGATTTTTATATATATAGGATATAATTGGATTTTCTTTGTGAGTCAACCTGGAAGTTTTTCTTTAATAGGTGAGGTTAGCTCATTTTTATTTATTGATGTGATATGTGTTTGGTCTTAGTTTTGTCATCAAAAGATCTGTTAGGATTTATTTATATGGCCTCTTTTGCCTTTTTAAATTATTCACTGTTTGATCCATTATTATGGCTTCATTTTTTTATGTTTCCTCTGATAATTTGGAAGTTTTGTGTTTTTGTCTTGTAATTGCCTTTTTAATTGTAACTTAAAGTGTATATTTAATTTTTTCCTCAACTTTTCGTTTATGATTTCAGTCCTACAGAAAAGTTGAAATAAATAATACAGTGAACATCTACATGTCATTCAACATTCAACTAGATTAACCAATTATTAATATTTTGCTACATTTGCTTTATTTCTGTCTCTGGCTACATATATATTCTTTTCTGAATATTTGTAGGTAACTTGTAAACATAATGATTTTTCATCCCTAAATACTTCAACATATATCTCTTGAAATATTCTCCTACTGTCTTAGTTAGTTACCTAGTGCTGCCTTAACAGAAACACCACAAGTAGGTGGCTTTAAAGAACTGTTATTTTCTCACAGTTCTGGAGCCTAAAAGTCCAAATCAGGGTATCGGCCATGTCAGTTCCTTCTGTGAGCTTCTCTCTTAGTTTCTGGTGTCTGCTGGCAATCCTTGGCAATTCCAGTCTTTCCCCTGTGTGTGTGTCTGTGTGTATTGCTCTTTTTGTAACTCAAAAATGATTAGATTTAGGACCTCCAGGCTGGTATGACCTCATTAACATAGTAAAAGGAAAACATGATTTCCAAATAGGATCACATCCACAGATACAAGGGCCAGGAGGAATTCAGCATATATTTTTGGGGAACACAATTCAATCCATAACACCTACATAACCACAGTGCCAGTATCACACCCAAGTACTTTAACGTTAGTATTATTTCTAATATGGGATCCATATTTAAATTTCCCCAGTTGTCTCAATAATTTTCTCTATAGCCCTTTTGTTTGTTGGTGATTCAAAGATCATGCACTGTATTTAGTTATGTTTCTTTTGTCTCCTTTAATCTAGATGGACCTCCTGCCTCCATCTCACCCCCGCACCCTTTTTTTGTTTCTTTCATGAAGAGTCCAGGTAGTTTATGTTGTAGAATGTCCCAACATCTGGATTTTTCTGCTTCCTCCTGATTAGATGCAGTTAGGCATTCTTTGGCAAGAATACTACATAGGTGATATATCCTTTCCATTTCATCACATCAGGGGACACATAATATCAATTTGTCCCATCATTGATCATGCTGAGTTTGATCACATGGTTAAGATGGTGTTAATACTCTATTTTTTACGTATCTTTTGACTTCTGCCTATGAGCAGTGACTAAGTAAATATATTTTAACTTTCATCTCTTTTTAACCTTCTATTATTTTTCTCAATACCCTTAAAATATACTTATACCTTTGTTTTTTAGTTTATCAATTTTAAATATCTTTTGCCCTCAGCTATAGAAGATGAGGAAAATAAATATACTTAGACTACCTCCCACCCTTTCTCCTCCTTTTCTTCCAGCGTTTATTCATTTACTATTTTTTAAAAGAAGAAAATGGAACTTAAACTTTATCCAGTAATTATAAAAATGACTAAAAACATTCTTTGGATCTATATTATCAGTTGAGTGGGTGGGTTGGAGACATGGTAAAGTCTGTAGGTGTTGTAATTGGGTTTGAACTGTTATTTGGACTGCTGTTATTTGTCATCTACTCCACTTTAAAATGTTGGTTAGCCACTCTTCATAATTATTCTTGGTTTACCTCTTCTAATTTTAAGATTGTAGGCGCCAGCTTGATGGGTAGAATCATTTTTTGGGCTGCAGTGCAAGCAGCAGACCACTCATTTGGGACCCATATGAAGCTAAAGGCCACACTTGACCCTCAGATGTTTCCTGTTGCTCACCTTCCCTTCATATGCCCCCTCCATTTCAGTGTGTAAGTGTGCCTTTTATTCTTCTCTTCAGGCCTCCCAGTTGCTGGGCAGACCTCCGAATTTGTTAACCAAGTGTTAGAGAAGACTGCAGAAGGCAATCCCACTGGAGGCCTTGTAGGACTAAGAATACCAACATCAAAAGTGTAATCAGCCTCATTGGACCACTGGTCAGAAATGTCTGTGTTTGTCACGTTCTTCATTGTAAATTTCATTCTGTTTTGCATGTCAGTTTAGCATTGTGTAAACATTTACAATTAGGTTACATTGTTTTAAGAACTAAGTAGCGTAAGTGAAGCATGATCCAAAATACTTGATTATTGCATTTTCAGAGCATAAACCATGGTTAAAACTGCTACTGGCATCAGAAATGAAACTCATATGTTTAAGTAAATGTTCAGGGTACAGATTTCAAAAATCTGTTGAAGCAAAACATTTTGGAGGGGTGAAGATATTAATGTAAATGCCAAATATTGTGGCAAGTTTATGCTCTGAACCACACACACACAAATCGAGGAAGCATTTTTTAAACAGTCAGTTTAGATTGTTTTTAGAATTACTGCTTTATGTTCGAATTTTCCACAACCATTAATCTCACTTGTACATGGCACACCCAGCCCTCGTGTGCCATATTAGATGTTCATTTTCAGAGCTCAATACTATATATATATATATATAAATGTCTGTGCAAGTAAGAAGAAAAAGCATATTCTTTGTGCCTTGTATTTTGGGGAAACTATAAAACTGGTAATATTTTGTATGATGAAAAACCCTAATGAGGAAAAAACAAGATATATAGGTGGAAAAATTATGGGGTTTAAATGTTTTTTTGTTCCAACTCTTTTTCAGATTTTATGAATGTATATAGGACTATGTTGAAATGTAGATATATGCCACAGAGTCTGTGTATTGTATAAAAAACAAAAAAAACAAACAAAAAAAAAAGATGGCTCTAGAAAACTCAATTTCGGTACTTGACCGGAAGAAGACAAATACTTGCACATTATTGCGATTGTTTTATTTTTTGTACCAAAGACAAATGCAACTGATATGGCAAACTGCCAGTCTAAGTAAAGTTTTGCACAGCTTACATGATACTGTATGAATGTATGAAAAAAAGGAAAAAAAAAAAAAAAGAAAAATTTAAAAGGTCAGGGTTAGGGATCTTACTGAACTGTGAATTTTATTTCTGTTTGGGTCCAATTATCTACAGAAGGAGCATCCATACATACAAATATTATTTTGCTGTTCCTCTAGTTTGCTTCCATAGTAGATAAGTTGGTGGCCATTTAGGTGTCTGTAAATCTTTTTATTTCTGCACTTATTGTAGGAAATTTTAATATATTTCATTTTAGTAAGCTATTGGTAAATAGTTTTTGACTTTGAAAATTTAAAAAGTTTATTTAGCTTATTGTAGTATACTTTCACCAAACAACCAAAATACAGATTATATATATATGTAAAGAAAGAAAAAAGCTAAAAATATCTAATTCTTTAGTTGCCACTTTTCCAATTGATGTATTATTGTGCATGTAATATTTTCAAAGATCAACACAAGCTTAAGACAAAAACAAAAAAAAAATTTATAGATTTTTATATTTTTGTACAGATATTTTCAAACTAGCTTCTTCAAACTTACACGTGACTTATTCTTCTTCTATAGTTTCTAGAACTGAGAAATATCAACACATTTAGTTTTTAGGTGCTCTTTTTTGCTCACGTAAGACAGCTTCATTAGTCAGCGTTTTAACTGTGTTTAAAGCTTTACCTCTTGATGAGAAATTTCTTATGTCAAGGCAGCATTACAGACCTTCCCCACAGACTTTCTCCAGCCTCTCTCTTTCTGTTTTACCCTTAAATTTGTTTTTTCAACTCTGAAAACTGGTGGCTTAAAAGCTATTCTTAAAAAGCTAGCAACAACAAAAATACCTTATCTAGCAAGAAAAAGAAAAAGTTTCTAGCAAGAAAAAGAAAAAGTTTCAGACCTAGCTTCTGGGAAAGTATCTTATTTCTCCAACTTACCCCTTGGAGAATTTATTTTTCATTATACTTTGTCTACATAATATGTTTCCTTTTCTTTTTCTTTGTCCCCCTTTTCCCCCACCTCCTTTGTAAGCTATATAGCATTTGAAGCTGTAGTTTATGAAGGCTTGATTCTAAAACACACAGTAACAACTGAACAATGTTGCTTACGTGCGGAGAAGGATCGTCTTAACACCTTAGCTGAACTGTGATGCACAAGATTTTCCTGTGTGTTTGGTGGAAATGTATCTGGTTAGTACATTCACACTAAACAGATGATAAGCTCAAATCTAATGGTTTAATAGAATGTAAATTCATTGTTGAAAGTTTTTCGTTTCTATATGGGAGAAGGGAAAGCCCAGGTTTGTAACTTGGAAGTATGTGAAGTCTTGAGAGAGTGTGTCTGGTAAATTGAAAAATGTTTCAAAATATGGCAGTTTTGCAATCAGGTGAAGATCACTTCATGATAGAGATTCAGCTGATGAGGGTTATAAAATTTCCCCTTTCTAGCTGCTGTGCTAGGAATTCTGGTTTTTGATACTTTTCTCCTGTCTGCAAACCAGAATATGATGGTTTGATCTTGCATTAAAAAAAAAAAAAAAGACTTTGAATCTGTTTAGTAGATTCCATATCCTTGCATTTCAGTGTTTTATATGTACTACTTAAGTTAAATAGTTAAAAGCTTTTAAATAGTTGAGCTTTTTAATGTTGACACTTTATTTTGTACCTATTTATATATGTATGTATATCTTAGAAAAGCACTTTGTTAAAAAAAAAATTGCATTTTATATGATTCCTGCCATTTGCTGCTAAATCTGGGCTGGTCAGAATGCTGCAGCGATACTTGATCTAAATAAAAACCTGGCAGTAAAATGTAGAGTAAAAGTTAAATCCTTTTGCTGTTTTAACTTTATCATAAAGATGATATAGGCAAGCTGTGCAGCTTTACATTTTAACCAGGGGACTCTGTGGCATTTAAAACCGTCTAGAAATGGTTGTACTTTAATGCCAGTAATAATCTGCTTCCTCTATTGTCATTAAAATATATATGTTTAGTGTATCACACAAACAAATCTTATAAGGGTAACATAAAAACCCCAACAATTGTACATGTTCTGTTTTTTAAAATTGTGGCATGTATTTTTGGGTGAAGATCATTAGAGAAGAACTCTCTAAAGGTTTTCTGTGTTCATACATGGTATACAGATAGTTCATAATGAAGTCCAGAATCTTACTTTAAGTGAAGGCATTGTGAATTCACCTCAAATAAACCCATTGTTCCAAAAGCAATTATAAACTTTGACTCTAGTACTACTATGATTTAAAAACAAACAAAAAACATTTTTCCTAGTTTCAGATACACTGGATTCTTTATAGAATTTGTCTCCATATGAAAGCATGCTGTCCAATTGCTCTTGTTAAGATCTTGTCTGAGTTTTGAATTGGGTGCCACACTTCTTCAGTCAATATGATTGCTTGTTTTACTGTACCATGTATGATTCTTGTCCTTTCCTATATCCTTCATGACAGATTATGATGTGGCTTTATATTGTGCCTTACTTGTACATTAAAAACTAAATGTCTTCATTCCCTTCCACTTCCTCAATCTTTAACTTTGACCTTTTTGGTAAGAATCAGAGTTATTACAAACGCATCATGAAGGATTTCAGATGGACATGGTTTCAAATTCCCCTCTCTTTATAGTTATTTTATATTTGTACGAAAGACCAGTTTTGAATGGTCTTTGATTACGAGGGGGGAGAATTAGCAGTAATTTCACTACATCCCTTTTTTCTGACTCTCATGACTTTGTCATACATCTTCTTTCTGATGTTTGACTTTATTTGCTTCTTAGCAATAGTCTGCATTTAAAGAAAGGTGTGTTCAGTTCATTGACTTGAATTGACTATTTCATTTTTCCAGAATTTTTTAGGAGAAGAGTACCCGTTTTGTTTGTTTTATAAAACAGATGACAAGTCTCTTTAAAAGAAACAGAAGTACAGTACTTTTGAAATACAATGTTGTTAGTTTGGATTTCTTTTTTTATATATAATATTCATACAATTATCTGATGTTTGCCTTCATTAATAAAGCTGTTAGTTTATTCACCAAAATGTCAAGAATGGATGTGCTTTTCTTTATTCCATACATTTAAAAATATCTTAGCTGCTAAGATTTAGTTAACTTTCTAAGAAATGAATTCAAGTTGCCTTTCCGCAGGAATTAAGAAAAACCTGTTTCCTTTTTTTCTTACCGTCTTCCTGAAATTTTGTTCAAGTATTTTCTAGTTGATTATGTAACAGAATGTTAGCATCTCTCCAAATTGTGAAACTTGAATTTTGAGAACGTGTTGAATTATACTTTCAGTGTTAAAGTAAAAGGTTTCGATTATCCTTCTAGTGAACTCTATTGTGGAATACCATTTCCCATGGAACTGAGGCCATTTCCACAACTTTGCACAGCTACAGTCTTGTTCTTCCCTTGGGTCATGACGAATAAGTCTCACACAGTGCCGTAATACTTGTGGATTCTTTTTAATCTTTGTAATCTTAATAAGGGCATTATGAGAAGATGACTCCATTTTTTTAAATATTTCAAACACTTTGGGATGTAACAATGAATGTCAATTGTAGGAATGGTTGTTTCGTTTTAAGGAATAAGTATGTTGGGGAAGGATGATGGAAATGTACTACTGAAAGTTATACACTTCCATAGGCAAGTGGGGATTATGTGTTGAAACATAATCCTCATTCTTAGTAAACTGACTGAAATGTAGAAATTACACCTAGGAACTGAATTATGCCAAATTGCCATTCTTGTTTAGAAAAGAGATGTTTGGGGGTAGTAGTGAGGGGATAGAACCTTAAAACTACTTCCAAATAGTATTTTGTAATTGAAGATTTGGTGACTAGTGAAGAACATCAGAGTAGGGTATTTACGTGTGCCAAGTTTGGGTGAACTAGGTTTGCCTCTTTCATAACAATGTAAACACAACGGTGTAGTTAATTAAATTCTGGGTGGATGGGAGCGGGACTGATTACTGTGTCTTGCCCTTCGCCCTTTTGTTTTTTTCAGAACCAAATAACAGAAATGTGTATGTGTGTACTGTATCTGCCTTTCCACCACATTTTTATATAATACTGTATTTCACTGCCTGCTTTTTTACCTTCTTTCCCTAGGATTTGTCCTATAGCTTAGCATTTGTGGTTAACAGTGATACTAGGGCTGACAGCACATAAAAAGTCATGAGAGAAGAGTGGAAGGACAAGAATTCAAAGCATTTGTTCATGTAATGTGGCAACCTCTTTTGCATAGTTGTGTGGGATCCTGTTTGTAATGCTATCATAAATATTCTGTAGAGTTTTTTTTTTTTTCTCCCCCAACTGGAGCTAAGAAACTTTTTATTGGATTCAGTCTTGTCTCTTGTCTAGAAAGAATTTTATCTTGTTGACGCATGAGCTGTTTAAAAATTATTCTATTAAATGTTGGTTAATAGTTGTGCAGTTTTTCTTTTCAGAAGAAAAGGCAATTCAAATGTTGCCTTTGTTTTTCTGTCACCTTCCAACCCCTCAGCACTTCTAGTCAGATACAGATTCATCAGTGTATGCAACATCCTTTGTAATTTAAAATAAAAAAAAAATGAAAAGGTTTTGAATTGTTTGTTTCATGTTTTTGCCTTTCCTTTCTCTGCTGCTTCTCCGTTGCTTACCAAGGCAACCACCCACTCCTCTTCAAGATAACCCAGTGCAAAGAAACTCCCAACTAAAGAGAGCAACGAACTATTGATCATGCTGCCCCTCACTTGATAGTGTACAAAGAACTAGCTTTTTTTGGACATTTTGGGCTGGTTTTTAAATACTTCAGTGAAATTTAGCTATTACGTAGATTTGTCGATACAACATTTGCATAGTTTATACTTCTTTCTCCGGGCAAGCGATCTCTCTTTGAGAGAAATAAAGTATTTTGGGTCTCTTGTGATTTAATCATTTGTATGTGTTTCTGTGTTTAATAATTCTAAGTCTCTGAGCTAGTCCAGGCATACACATAGAGCCTTTATTCGGGACTGAGTGAACACCACCATAGGTGGATATATTGCTTCAGCCAGCACACGTTTGTTTAGCACTTACTC